GAATCAGGGTGTACACACACACACATGCACCTGTACGCTTGCATGCGTGCTTGGTTCTGCACAACTTCAGACACGCAAACAGCTCCACTCTGACCGTCGACTCGAGAGAGCGCCGTCCAGAGGTCAAAACCAGGCCATTAGTGGCCGGCGGCTGAGCCGGCAAGTCGAAACGGTTCGTCTCCTGGCTCCTGGTCAACTCATGGTCGGGGTTTCTCAAGGAAAGCACTGCGTTCTCCATTGCCGAGGGTCCGAGCCCAGAGCATGGAAGGGGCCAAGGCATCGAAGTAAGCACCGCCAGCTCTATTCAGGAACGGGGCGCCCTTCGTCGAGGACTTCAGCACGCCACAGCCTTGTCCACATGCATGTCCATTCCAGGGCTCTGAGGCAAACTACACGCCCACTAATTCCGTTAGCCGATGTAGCGGGCACTGCCATTCAAAGCATACCTCCCTCTGAGGAATGGCACGTTCGTCAACGGAGTTCGTCTGCGACGAGGCTCTAAACCCTAAACCCTAGTAAGGATCAACACGTAGACAAAGACTGCAATATCGCCTGCGAAGGCTGCTCTTGAACGGTTAGCATAAAAAGGGTTGCGATAAGGCTTGCTTCTCAGCGTGACTAACGGTCCTACCATACGGGCTACATATTTAGGGCCAGAAGGGTCACCAAAGCGCGAGGGCTAGGAAGAAATGGAGAGGTGAAGAGCAGGAACTTCGAGACGGCGACTCCGTCACACTGGCGCCCCCTCTGGGTGAGTTCCTTAGAGATGGATCCTATCCATGAGAATCTCGGTCGTCCTTACGAAATTCATCAGCCAAGCAAAGTTGATTGTCTGAGATTGCCATTGGTTCTGAGGCCCCCTCACCTTCCAGCTGTTCATGGAGGCCCTTTGACATCTCAGAAGTGGCCCTAAAACCTGAGCCTCGAAGCCTAAACGGAAAAGAGCCCTCAGACAAGAGCCCGAAACCTACACCCTAAACGCTACAGCTGGCAGAGCCCTACCTTTGTCTCAGGCCACAGAGAGCAGACAGGCCCTTCGAAGATCTGGGGCACCCAGCCAGATGGAGCAGATGGAGCAGATGGAACAGCCCGAAAGAGCCGAGAATGACCAGCCGGGCAGTCAGGCCAGCATGCATCATATGCAACATCTAGACATATGTTTATGATAATTTATACAAATACATATTGTATGTGTGTGTATATATATATATACACATACATAGCAATATAATGTAGATATTCGGATTTCCACTCATCGCTTACACACATTGTGTGTCTGTCTGTCTGTCTGTCTGTCTGTCTGTCTGTCTGTCTGTCTGTCTGTCTGTCTGTCAGTTTGTCTGCATGTATGCATACAGGTATATAGGTGTGTAGTGTTCTGTAATGTAGGTAGACATGTATGTATGTATGTATGTATGTATGTATGTATGTATGTACGTACGTATGTATGTATGTATGTATGTATGTATGTATCCTGTTGCATCCGCAAGAGAGTGTGTATGTGCGTATGTATGTATGTGTGTATATGTACTTATGTATGCACGTTTCTGTGTGCATGTGTGCATGTGCTCATGTACGCATAAATGCATGCATATGTATTTATGTGAGCTTGGATCCAGGTATAGTGCACTGGGTTGGTAATATGATCGAAGATAGCAGAATGAAGTGAAAGATGCTATGCTGTAACGAAGTACACACTGATAGAATATCATAATGCAACATAGCATAATATAGTAGAAGTTAAAGTACCATACTAAAGATAGAACCCAGTACAATATATTGGAAGGACATGATAATGTAGTATACTATACTACCCTATCGAATATCATGGTGATATGTTAAGCGACACTGTTTTGTAATCTGTTGTGTATATTGATAGAATCATGCGGTGTTGTAGTGTGTTGTATTGTAACATGTCATAGTCTACCATACCATGTGATGATTATATGTTATTATATGAGAGCAACATGTTTCACATCTTACCGAATCATCTTATGATTCAATGTAAGATTACATTGCAGTGTATTGTTACGTTAGTTTATGGTATTTTATGTTGTATGAAAGGTGTTGTATTATGTTAAGCTTGATTATATCATAAGATAATTTTCAGTATGTCATATAGCATATATATATATACACACACATATATATATATATATACATATATATATATTACACATGTATGTATGTACGTACGTATGTATGTATGTATGTATGTATGTATGTATGTAGGTAGGTAGGTAGGTAGGTAGGTAGGTAGGCAGGCAGGCAGGCAGGTAGGTAGGTAGGTAGGTATTTATATATGTGTGTATATATATATATACATACACAAGATACACATCGGATGATACTTCTTACATATGTTATATCACAAGACGGCGCGCGAGCGGACCTGACATGGCAACGAGGCAGCAGATGCCTCCCACTTGCAGCCTCGGCCGTGCGCTTGGCCTTCGTGACATCACAGTTCAAGCCGAAGTCTCGGAGCTCGCGTGAAACCGAGATCACCCCCGGCTGCAATCGCTCCGCCGGTGGCAGCAAGTGTTCCTTCAGGCTCATCAGGCTCGCCGTCATGCCACAGCAGGGGTACAATTCATGGCCTTCTGCTGATGGCATGTCTCCTTGAGGTGTGCCTGCGCCTGAAGCGAAGCAGCACCTCGCCCGCGGCACTGCAACAGCTGCCAGTTCGAGAGACATCGCTGAGATGGCTCAGACCGGGTCGCACCCGGCAGAGCCTTCGCAAGGCAGTCGGACCATGCGAAGCGGCCTGTCTGCAGGAGTGGTGCAGCCCCTGGCATCGCAGCAGACACCCTTAGACTTAGATGCAGAAGCTTTGCTCACAAGATCCTCCCGGTCACGGCCTTTCAGACTTGAGGACGAGGACGCGGGCAGGATGGGATCGCCGCGTCCGCGGGGCAAGCGGCAAAAGCTCTCCGAGAGCCCGAGCCCGTCGCGGCTCAGAGGTCAAGCTCTGCTTCAGTGGCTCTGGAAGCGTCGTCTGGACAGAGGGGTTGAGACTGCAGGCAAAGCCGGGGAAGTGTCCGGTGGTGGGGACGTGGAGTCTGTTGCAAGGCCCATCCGCAATGCAAAGCAGCTGCTGCAAGAACAGCTCAAGCAGTTCAAGCTGCTCTTAGAGAACCGGGAGAGCCCGGAGACTGAGTTTGGGCTGTCGGCTGCACCTCCTCTGGTGACCACAAGGCCATATCGCAAGAACCAGAAGGCGCCCTTGGAAGGCGGCACAGTTCTCCTGCCTCCCACCTGCCTGCAAGTCGACGCCCTCTTGGGGGCGGAAGCGACGGACGCCTGGGACAAAGTGCAGCGGAAGGTCCTAGTGGAGGCGAAGAGGGCCGAGCGCCGGAGTGCTCAGGCGGCCAAGGCTCCGAGCGGGGCTGTTTCCTGCTTTCTGCCCTGGAGGAGCCTGGAGGTGTCCTTGGAGGCTTTCTTGTTCCAGAAGGCGCATCTGCAGCTCCAGAAGCGCTGTGATCTGGAGCCCGGTCGACGAGTGCTGATGCGACAGCTCGGCGGGCAGCCGACGGCGGGTCTCTTCGAAGACCCAGCCGCAGGGTCGGCGATGGCCAACGCGGCCCTGAGCGCCGCTCTGGTGGGAGTCTTGCCTGCCGAGAGCACCGGCAACGAGTTCCAGGCCGCGACTTTGCTGCCGAGCAGGCGGAGCGGTAGCTTGGCAGAGCTCGTGGAGGCCGCAAGGCCTGGTCTCCTCGGAAGGTGGCATCCCTGCCCGGCCCTGTCTGTGCCCACCGGTTGCAAGGATGCCCTCTTATGCACGCGGCTCTTTCGGGACACCTGCGTGGGCCTCACCAGCACCTTTGCAGGGCGCATGTCAAGGCAAGGGCTCACAGAAGATCAGCCTTTGGCACCCTCCGGTGGCCAGGAGCACTGTTTCTGCAACATCTGTTCCGAGTGGCTCTCCCGCAGCAGCCATAAGTCGCATCAGTGCCAATCGCATGTGGGCAAACCACAAGCGAAGACGAAGCCTCGGCTCAAGATCTTTCACCAGTCCTGGGATGGTCTGGAGTTCCCACTCTCCTTCCAGCACAGCCGCCAGACAGTGGAGATTTCCTGCGATGCCGTCCTTGAGAATGCCTTCAAGCGGCTTCTGTGGCCCCAGGTGTGGGAACCGAAGCAGGTAAGCAGCAGCTGGCGTCTGACAAAGTCTCAGAGCGAGCCCTGCCAAAGCTCTCCCATTCAGAATCTGAGCCTCAAGGTGCCCTACGAGAACTTGACGCAGCCTGGGCGGTTCCTCCTCTCTTCGTCTCAGCTGGCTTTGCTAGGTTGGATGCGGCAGCAAGAGCGACAATCTCTTTTCAAGTCCCAGCAGACCATCCGTCAAGGCCTCTGCGAGGTGCGCGAATAACACTCCAAAAATGGAAGGAATAGGTGGACTCGAAGAGCTCTTTCGTGGCTTTCTTTCGAGTCCACGCCTGAGCGGTCTGACTTGAGCTTCGCTTGCTGTCGGGTTTGTTGATGTGTCTGTTCTCGGCATAGCTTGACTTCGTGGTCTAGTCCGTCTAGTCTAGTTGGCTTGGTTTTGACCATTCCCTGCTGCTTTCCCTGAGACGGATCTAGCGCTGGAGCTGCAGCTCGCTCGCGAGTTTGAGTTCTGTGGTGGCCTTGTCCTCACCAGGGCCCCGAACGAAGAGCCCTACTTCGACAGGGCTGTGGCGACCTGTATCCTGGCCCTGATGGAGGATGCTGAAACTGCCAAGCCAAGTCCCATGCTGAACAAGCGCAGGTGTCGTCTCGAAGCCACGGGCACGCTCATCCTCGTACAGCAGCAGAGTCTCCCATATTGGCAGCAAGCATTGGAGGCCTCTCCCCTGTCGCGCCGGCGCGTGGTCATCGTTGCCAACCAGCGTAAGATGCGAAGTCTCACCGTCGCCGAGGCCCCTCTCAAAACAGGAGCTTCACCCAGGTTTTCCTTATAACACGGCCCTGTATTGTAGCTTGTGCAAGATCAAGCCTTGCGCAGGTAGTGGAGGCTGACTTGATCTTGGTGTCCGTGCAGCTCTTCAGTTCAGAAGCCTATCAGCGCCACTTCGACAGCCTCTCAAAGCCAGGGCTACAAGTTTGGGATGCGTCGTCGCTGCAGAAGCGGATAGATACCGTCCAGGGCCAGGGCGACACAGAGCCCGAGGAGCTGTGCCAAGACGTTGAGGGCAGCTTTGAGCAGGGTGATTTGGTTACCCTCCACGGACTCATCGCAAAGGCCCACCTCAACGGCCGCCGCGGCCAGTTGATCGGTTGGCAGGAGGACCAGGTTTTAGGATTTAGGGCTTAGGGTTCTGAGTTGACTCTGGATTTAGCCACAAGCAGCGCAAACGGCACAAGCAACACAACAACCCACGACAACAGTAGCAGCAGCTATGGGCAAATTGCTGCTGCACTTAGCAGACTGGAGGACACGGGGCGCTGGTCCTGCTTGCTGGAGGCACCGAAGTCAGCCAAAGTGCCGAAGCCCACAGCCAAGAGAAAGAGGTCCACTCCTGAAAGCAGCGAGGCTGAAGGTAAGGAGCTTAATGGGGTCTAGGGGGTTGTGTAGACTTTGGGGTTTAGGGCTTCGTGGCTTCGGGCTCAAGCCTCAAAGTTAGGGTTTAGGGTTCAGGGTGTTGCTCCTTCGGGTTAAACGCAGGAGCACTGAGGCCCTAGCCCCTTAAAAAAAGGCCCTCTGACTGAGGCGGCCAACTCATCAACGTCCGGCCCTGCAACCTGAGGGCGCTACGGCCAGGACCCATGAAGCCAGAGAGTTTCCCAAGCTTCAGAGGGCTTTGGGGGTTCGATGATTTTGGGTGAGACCCTCGACCCTAAACCCTAAACCCTAAACTCTAGACCCTAAACCCCAAAAAACTCTAAGACCTAAACCCTAAACTC